TCTCCCTTAAAAGATTTCAACCTGGTAAAAGATTTAAAGCACTTTAAAGAAAAAGGACATACAGTGAAAAGCACTTCAAGCCACCCATCCCATTCCACTGCCCAGAGGAAACCACTGTTGCTAGGGCCTTATATAGCCTTCAAAAATACTCTCCTCATATATAAGAACACATGTGTATATATGTGCTCAAGTATGGGGGGGGCGGAGAAAGAGAGAGAGAGACAGACCAACAGACAGACAGACAGAGACAGAGATAGAGACAGACACAACTACAAAACAAAACCCCCACACAGCATCACCTGGAAAGCTTTCAGACAGTGGATTCCCAGGTCTCACCCAAATCAACTGAACCTGAATCTCCAGGGAAAGGACTAGAGTCCATGCTTTTCAAAAGATCCGCACGCGTTTTGATGCAGCCAGGGCACTAAGAGACACAGTTTCATGCCCTCAATACTGCCAGGCTTTGGTCTTAAGTGCAGTGAGGAGTTTTCCATGCAGGTTAAAACACATTTGTCTACATCAGCCAAGGGAAGTTATGCATTTCCTAAACATCTTGACCTTCTGTCAAGCTTTACAAATGATAAGGTATAAAGATCAGAGCCAGACCATATAATCCTATGACCATATGCCCAAGCAAAAACAGGACCATAAAACATCAAGAGGTAAATTTTCATAATCAGAAATTCAGACAGTGTGGACCTGGAAGAATTTGCTTTCTTCTGTTTTTTGCCACGTTACACTCTAACAGTGCTTCTGCATGTATGACTCACGTCCCATAAAAAATTTAAATTGTATCTCATCACCAGACTGTTAATGTATTCTAAGAATTTTGCTTATAATTTGGCAACATCTACAGTTTCATTCCTGTTTGTCAGTCTAATATCACCCCACACTGGAACATTTACAGTGACAAATACTCATAAGATGCCATCTGCCAGGGTCCATGTTTGGGTCAAAGGGCAAATCAAGTCCACCAAAAAAATAAAATAAAAAAGAACCCACTGGACCGTGCAGTGATCAGGAACCATGCTGTATGTAACAGTCCTGGCTTAAACCCAAGCTCTCCAACTCGCCTGCCCTGTGGCTTTGGGTAATCGGCAAACTCTAAGCCTTCATTTCCACACCTTCAAAATGAGAATGAACAGATCAACACCTATACTTCAGGGGGTGCTGTCAGAACTAAGGGCACGGCACGTTTCAGTGATTAATGAATGCAATAAACTGGCACGTGTGCTGGGCCAGCTGATATGAGTGATTAAAGCAACTGGGTGCAGCTTCATCTTTAAATTCAACCTTGAGGCCCGAAATTCAGGCAAGGTTTCCTGTAGACAACTCAGAAGACATCTGCATCTCTGCTGGCCACACCTCCCTTCCGCCCCAGCCCAGATGCAACATACCTGCTCAGGTTGCTGTGCCAGGTGTCAGTGGGTTACCTGTGGGTCCCTGCCCAAGCCTTCTCTGAATGCTGCCTGACCAGTCTTTGCGTACAAAGACAGGCTAGCAGACACACGTCATCACCATCCACACCACTCCGCACCACCACCCCCCTACCTCTGTGTAGAACACCTTATGCTCCACCACGTTCAGGTCCATTGTGAAGAGCCTGGGCTGCAACGTGGTACAGAATGTGTTCCCCTCCATCAGGCCGATCTGCGCGTTGGCAGGCTGGTGTCGGAGCAGGTGCTTCTTAGGGGGGACCATATCCTGCAGGACCTGGGGAAGCCGAGGAGGCACCACTCACCAGCTGCCCCTTGGGACGCAAACTCTTTTTGAAAATTCAAAAACTGTGTGTGAGATCCAAAGTTATTACAGGTATCTTCTAATTAGGGAAGGGGAAATACGTTTCATGTGAAAACCTGGGAACTGGAGAGGCATGTAAGTAAGATATGTTAGTTCTTAAAGTTACAGGCTAACCTTTCTTACTTTAATAAGAAAAATAAATCCAAAACAAAAAACAAAACCATAACAAAACAAGAATAAAACTACCAGACTGTGCTATAAAGACTCAGGAAAGCAAGCTTCTAGTCTCTTTAGTCTAACAATCGCTGATACAGCCGTAACTATAAGTACAGTTTTTTGCATATCTGAAGTCATAAAGAGCAGGCACAATGGTAGAGCCAGCCCTCTGTGTCCGTGGCTCTACATCCTCAGATTCTACCAAGCAAGAAGGAAACATACTTGAGGACAAAATAAAAAAAAAATAATGTAACAAGAAAATACAAATAAACTAATACAGGATAACAACTGTTTACATAGCATTTACATTGTATTCGGTATTACAAGTAATCTAGAACTAACTGAAAGTATATGGGAGATTATACATATTTTTATGTACCCATAAAAATTTAAAGATTGGCACAGTGGCTCACACCTGTAATCCCAACACTTTGGGAGGCTGAGGTGGGAAGATTCCTTGACCCCAGGAATTCAAGGCCAGCCTGGGCAACAGAGTGAGACCCCCCATCTTTAAAAAAAGTAGCTAGCTAGAAAAATTTTTTTTAAATTGAAAAGAAGAAAATGACATTTTGGGCAGGATAATTTCCTTCAAGAATTTTAAAAGTTTTTTTAAAAATTAAGAAACTAGCCAGGTGTGGTGGTATGCATCCTTAGTCCCAGCTACTTAGGAGGCTGAGGCAAGAGGATAGCTTGAGCCCAGGAGTTCGAGGCTGCAGTGAGCAAGGATTGCACTACTACACTCCAGCCTGGGCAACAGAGCAAGACTCTGTCTCAAAAAATAAATAAATGAAAATAAAAAAGCATTAAAAAATAAAAAATCAATAAATAAAGTAAATGGAGGATTGCGTAAGTTACATGCAACTATCACACCATTTTACATCAGAGAGATCCCCAGATTTTGGTACCCACACAAGGTCCTGGAACCAAGACCAAGACCCCCCAAGATAACAACAGACGACTGTACTTTGTGTCACCGACACAAAATTATAAATGGAGTATCATCTCAACTCAAATTAAAAAAAAAAATTATCAAAAGTTTTGTTGAAATTATCTCGGTTCTGGTGACAGAAATCTCACCTCTTTATGGGGCTCCATGATCACCGTCACACTCTTCCCAGTGACCTGGGCCAACACCTGCAGTGAATGCATGGCCTGCTTTCTCACAGTGGAGTTTGGAGAGGTGACTTCTCGAACCAAATCATGTGTCACGTGGTGGAAAGACTTTTCCTGGGCGGCCACGATCTCTTCAGCTCTCTCCTCATCTTTTAAAGGCGTTGCACACCGCATCAGAAGCTGCTCCAGAGTGGTCTTTGCCATGGCAACTGCCCCATTGGAAACCTGCAGGTCAGGTTTCCAATGATACTGAGTATCAAAGTCACCACGCTGGTAGGAGAGCATATTTGCAGAAGGGTCTTACACTAACTATTCTTTAGGAAACCATTTCAGAAACAGCATGGTTAGGTTTGGGGCCCCCGTCACCTACCTCTCCAGTTAAGTCCATCATGACAAAGAGAAGTGCCTTGAGGAAGGTCTGCTGGTTCTGCAGAACCCAAGTGAGAGGCAGCCGCTCCATGAGAAACTTAATGGACACCACGCCCCCGAGCTTTGCATACCACGCCTGTTCATAACAACACGCACACAGGCGCTCCACGATGTAAGAAAACAGGGGCAGCTGACAGGCCTGGAGAGGAAAATGAACCAACCACAACACGTTACTGCAATTCTTAAGCCACCCTAGAAAGACCACCCTCAGGTACACACACACCCTCCAAATCGGAAGACACTCCTCAACCCTTCCTCACCCTCTCCTTGGAGCCCAGGATGATACTTGCAACGTCAAATATCACAGCTAGGGCCACCTCCCCAATTTTGCAAAGCTCCTTTTCTTCATATGCCATACAAATAGCTATTGCATCAATGAGAACCAAAGGATCCATTCCTTTAGAGCCATTTTCTTCACTGTGAAACATGGCTGTGCTGGGCTGGCTGCCCACTTGGTAGCAAGGCAGCAAGAAAGGACCTAAATGGAGAGCGAGGGAAGGCACGTGAGAGTTCATTTACATAAACAGTCTTGTACCTCAAATTGCAAAACTGCCCGATGTTTTCCCTGACATTAGAAACGCTATAAAACCAGGCATGATGGCTCACGCCTGTAATCCCAGCACTTTGGGAGGCCATGGCGTGTGGATCATTGGTCAGGAGTTTGAGACTAACCTAGTTCAATGTGGTGAAACCCCATCTTTACTAAAAATACAAAAATTAGCCAGGTGTGGTGGCAGATGCCTGTAATCCCAGCTACTCAGGAGG